CAGTCAGTGGGAGGGCCCCCTGAGCAAGATACAGCCAGCAGTTCTGAAGGTACAGTTTAAGTCACTTTTACTGTACTTCATTGAATCTACGATTGAAAGATCTATCTTTATGAGTCCCCGAGAAAGAAAAACACTTATTCTTTGACATAATGCTTTCTTATCCCTTAGAATTTTCTTATTTTATACTTATTACAAGAGCTTTTTTAGATATTGCTTTTTATTATATTACTTCTCCCTTTAGTTGCACTGCTTGATATCAAGTATGTCAGTAACAAAATGTCAGTTCAGCTTCATCTACCTTCTGGGGATCTTACTTTCTTAAGTCCCATAAAGCACATGGTTGTTCCTTTGTAAAAAACTAAGAAAACAGCCATTTCTCTAACAACGAATATTTGCTTCATAATAGCAAATTTATGCCTTGTTCTCTCTTTTCTTGCTTTCTGTTAAAGCAGTAATTGCTTAATTATACTACAGACTTTGAAATTAGCTTTAAAATTGCTGTTAGATTCAGGTGTAACAGTCATAGTTAACATAACCAAGTTGAAATGACACCATGAACAGCTGTGATTAAGTTCATGCATGCTCAGGCAGTAATTCCATTATGGCTGCTGCCTGGCTTCTGCGAGGGGAGGAAATCACTGATTGTAGGATGATCTGAATTTCAGAGATGTTAAAATGCTGCATACACTTCACTATTGATTCCTGTTTTATCATAAACGATGAGACATTTTTCCTAGATCAGAAATTTTAAACCATAATTGGTAATTATGGTATGCATATGTCTGTATTCCAAAAAGGAAAAGAAATAAAGTTGACACTCATTTTTCATTCTTCTTGAATATTAATTCGAGGGTACCAAAACGTTCATGGAAAATATAATTAACAGCTAATACGAATCTTTCCATGAATTTTTTTGTATGTAAGCAGAATATTTTTCATCCTAGATGTGTTTGATGGACACTTGCTGGGATCCACAGATAGCCAGGTGAAGGAAAAGTCAACCATGAAAGCCATCTTTGCAAATTTGCTTCCAGGAAATAGCTATAATCCTATTCCTTTTCCTTTGTAAGTATTATAAAAGCCAGTGGCTATTGGATGGTTTTATTTTTCCTTAATTTAAGCAATCTCTCTCTAGACTTACTCTTTACATATTTAAATACTTCACTATGAATGTACTTCAAAACGTTTGTGGAAAAATAGAACTAAAAGAGTATACAAATCTTTCCAGGAACTTTTTGAAGACCCCTCATATGTTCGTTTATCTGTGTATATGTATTTCTCAATCCTGAATTTTATTTTATCATAGTAAAAGAGATGTCTTGATATAATGTAATTTGTAGAACATGTAATCATTATTATATAGTAAAAGAGTGGATAAAGAAAGCATTAGCTAGCGTTGCTTATTGCTTCAAATTACTGGTTCTGAAAATAATTGTTTATATATGTCTTTTTCTTGAGGATATACTGCTACGTCCATATCCATTGATCGTCTCATAATCATTAAAATATATTGCTGGTTATATATGAGGATGATAGTACTGGCTTAGTAATGTACTGGGACATGGCACTATTCTAGCTGTGATGATGAATTACAATGACCCATATAAGTTTTCAGATGATCTTCTTTGTATGGGCTCACTCAGATTGAGAAAGAGTCTAGGATGGCCATGAAAGTGTTTCTTCCCCTGAGTTGACCTATGTGGCAATCAAACGCTGCTCTTGTTACTGTGATACAATTATATCCAAAAGGTAGAAATTTGTTGAAGGACTTTTATATTTTCTTACCTGATATGTCAATATTTAAACTTATATATAGTGCCTACTCTTGTGCCCCAGAATGTAGAACAAAATTCATAAGGAAAAATCACTGCTCTTAGGAGTTCATAATCTTGGGGAAGATACAAGTAGAGAATACTCCCCAGTACAGTATGTAACACATTACATGACAGTAGTACGTAAAAGATTCCTGCTTTCTCTAATTCAGACCCAAATATCTCAGTTTCTGGAATGAACTATAATACCTCCACTTTATGGTCTTTGCTCATGCTCTCATATTCTTTCTTAATCATTGGGTAGTGTTCTTTCTCAGGAAAACTTTACTAGACCTTCCCTGTAACTCACATTCCAACCAGATTAGATTTCTTTTTTATATGCAGCGTTTTCAAAAAGTTCACGGAAAGATTCATATTATCTTTTAATTCTATTTTCACAAACTTTTTGAAGTACTCTCCCATGCTCTCATGATTCTTGTCTGAGTTCAGGCCGTTGTAATGAATTAGCAAAGACTGGTGGCTTGTAAACAATAGAAATTTATTTTCACAGTTCTGGAGTCTGGAAGTCCTAGATCAGGGTGTCAGCATGGTTGGGTTCTGGTGAGAACCCTCTTGTGGGTTGTAGATTGCGATCTTCTCTTTGTATCCTCACATGGTTTAAAGAGAGAACTCTCTAGAGTGCCTTTTACAAGGGCACTAATCCCATTCACAAGGTCTCCATCGTCATGACCTAAATCATCTCCCAAAGGCCCCACCTCCTAGTACCATCATGTTGGGGGTTAGTATTTCAACATATGAATTTTTGTTGAGTAGGTGCAAACATTCATTCTGTAACAATTCCCTTATAGCACTTATCACAAAAAGTGATTATTTTTTTTATAGAATTATTTGTTTCATTACCCCACTGTACTGTAAATTCTACCATGCCTATTTTTTTCACCATTGTATTGTTTAACATCTCACACATATAAGAATGCTGATTAGCAGTTTTTCTCAATAGTGTATTCCTGGCACATTAGGTGATCAGTAAATAGCCCCTAAACAAAAGGAATGACTGTGCCTAACAGTGCCTAGGGGAGTCAGGGTGGAAGTCAAGGGAGCAAAAAATGGAGTCACCATTGAGTTTCCATGTGTTAGTAGTAGAATGGCTGTGTTTTGTTATTTATTGTTGGACTAGTAGTATGTCTTCTCCACAATTTCTAGAAGACTTTTCTCTCAAGCTTATAGTAGAACAAAGTATTTTAGACTTTTGCTGTTCATTATAAAATATTTTTTTGTAGTTAATATGGCCAAAGTCTTTTCAGTATCGAAAGCTTTATTTGGAGTAGACTATTTCAGAACCCTCTGATTTGAAACCTAATTCTGATAATTTTCTAATTGCCTTCAGAATTTTTCTCTTGATACCTTTTTGTTGCCTATTTAAGTTCTCTTAATGGTTTTCATATGTGATTTTCTATTTTTATTCTTATATACTTATATATTTTAAAAATTTGAGCAGTGATCCAGATAAACACTACCTCATGTATGAACATGAACGGGTGCCCATTGCAGTGTGTGAGAAGGAACCCAGCTCCATTATTGCTTTTGCTCTCAGGTATTGTTCATGGGACTTTTTCACCTGTGGTTGTATCTATGTAGCTTATGGATGTCTATTAATCACCTTATTTTTGGGATGTTTCAAATAGAGGAAAGCTAAATGTTTAAATATAAGCAGAAATTCTCAAGACATGATAGCCTGTTCTCTTTGTATCAGAAAACCTCTGTTTACTGAAGTAATGAGTTATTGTATGATTCTTAAGCAAGCTCCTAATAACTAAATTGACTAGGCAACTTATTTACTAATCCTTGAATCCTCTAACCATTCTATTATAAAATTTATCTCTTCCTTCAACTTACTTATTGACATAGCTTTGTTATATCAGGGTATCTTTTTTGTATTCTTCACTCATTTCCTTCCTGCTTGCCACATGTACCCGGTAAAATTTTCCTATCTAGGGTAATGTTATTCTTATGCCCTACCCTGTAGACATTTCTGACTTTTGAATTGCAGTTATCATGTGTCTTAAAGAAGTGTCCCATTTTAAAAATACTTTTATCTAAAAGAACAGAGCTTTTTAATCTTAAGGCAATGGTTGAACTTAAGTAGCATCTGTTTAATTAAAAAAATCTTTTTCTGTTGGAACGCATTAAAAATTTTATTTTTTCTATTTAGATATTGGTTACAAGGAGTCCATTTATTTAATAAATATTTGAGTATCTACAAAATGTGGTGTACTAGGTATTGGATATACAGGAGTAAACAATAGATTTCTATGCTTCTGCTTTTATGGGGTTTAGAGTTTGTTGTTTGGATAATGAGGAATTTTTTCATTTATAGGATTCTATATGATAAATTTTTTACCTTTGCCTTTTGGACTTTCTGAAGATAGTATTTGCTTCTGTATTGATTAGTCATAATACATTAATAGATAAGGAAAGTCAACCAAATCAAAAATATTTTTTGTACTATTAGAAAATAAGTATTCTAGTTGAGGTCATCTTTTATAAAAGTCTTGGAAAAATAATACACATTAATGTGACTCTCATGTTCCATGACATCTAATTTATCTAAAGCAGGGCCCCAGACTGCTAGTCCAAGAGTCGGATTTTTTTTTTGGTTAATAGTACATTTGAATAAAATTTTTTTTCTTTAAAATTTAGTACCTTTAAGTAGAAAAGCACTCTCAAGTTATTTTACTCTCTATTGTACTAAACACTGAGACTTCAAACTTTTAAGATACCTGTTCAACCCCTGAAGTCATTTGATATAAATATTAGTAATAAGGCATTTTTAAAAATCATTTTTGAAGATATTGATACTAGTTATTGAGTTGGTGAGTCATTTTGTATTATTCTTTGTGAAGATGTTGACTTTCTTCATGAAGCTTCTACTTGATCACTTTTGTCAGTTAACTCACATGTATTTGTTTAATTATGAACACATATAATGATTGTGTTTTTATAATACAAAACTTATTCTAAAGCATATGATTTCTTTTTAAAGAAGAACTTAATGTTTAATATTTTTCAACCTATTTCTACCCTAAGTTGTAAAGAATACCGAAACGCCTTAGAGGAACTATCTAAAGCAACTCCGTGGAACAGTGCCGAAGAAGGGCTTCCGGCAAATAGGTGATTCATGATTGAGCTGAATATATTTTAAATTGGTTGTGTCATTATTTTCTATATGATTGTATCAGTTTTATATAGCACATTATCAGTATAAAAATAATGGCATTCATATTTCAGCCAATAATTGAGACAACAAAATTCAAGTATAGCAAAAAACCTTAAACAGTCCCTTAGGATACAGTGTTTTGTTAATTGCCATAACAGTTCAATGTATATTACCGATTTAAACTTTCAACAGTTTTGGAGGGAAAACAAGTTACCGTTTTTATTTAAAAAAAATAGTAACTTGTGAAATTAATAAGCTACTGATTGGCTTTGTAATTTGAAGTATTTGTGAATTTTGTATAATAACTAAAGATCCTAATAGTTTAAATAACAAAACCTAACCCAATTTTTTTTTTAAGCATGTTCAGTATTTTAGACATTTAGACAGAAATTGGCATAGGCTCAATATTATGATTCTTACTGAAATAGGTTTTCCAGCTTTACTACTACACAGTTGACTAGTGTGAGACAAATGCAACTGGTATTTTCTATAATTTGCTTGACTTACAGGTGCTGATATGGCTCTAATGGACTTGAGGAAAAACATTATAAATACTTTTATAATATTCTATGGTTTCATACATTTTTCCATACATTTTTATGGTTAGCATTTTCCATTTTTCCATAGCATTTTACTTTTCGTAAGTCCCATAAAATGTGAAGATTTTTTCTTTCGTGTTCTAACCTGTTTTTATGTACATTATGAACGAGGTTTCTGATATTGTGGTTGGGGTTAGGTGGGAAGTAAATTAGTGTAGGAATCACAGTACTTGCTAATTTCTAACTAAATAGTACAAAACTAATTTTTCCTTTTTTTTTTATTTTTTTTTATTTTAGTACTTTAGACAGCAGACCAACAAGTAGCAGCCCTATGAGATTACCTGAAATCAGTGGAGGACAGGCAAACCGTACAGCAGAAGCAGAAACACAACCAAGTAAGGCTATAAATAGAGAAATGTTTATAATTAATTTTATTTGTAATTGTAGTTTGAAGAAGAATTCACATTAAAAAGAAATGCCATCTGGCAAGGTCTTTGAAATATAATATAGATTTAAATATTTTTGTATATCCTCTTTTATAGATGTTTTGCTTTTCCTCTTTGATTCTTAAGTGTAAGTTCAAGTTATCTAATTTGAAATTCTTAGAAACCATGAAAGAAAGGAGGAGGATCTACCTTCCTGGAGTTTACTTCATGGTCAAAAATGTTCCTTTTTTGTTTGCGTTTGAGGCAGAAAGAAGAGTGGTGCAAACTGCAGCTGTTCTCTTTATGAGGAAAGCAAGGGCTCCCCTTTCAGTCTCATTGGTCAGAACTGAATCTCATGGCCACCCCTAACTGCAGAGGAGATGGAGAAAGTAGGGAGCAGCATTGTCCTGTGTCGTGGTTGGCTTATATAAATCATGATCCATTTTCTGGGGCTCACCACATAGATACTCCTGCTCCTGTGCCCTGCCCAATTCAAATTCTGTTACCAAGTTACCAAATAGGAGTAGATATTAAAGAGGCAATAATAGTGTCTGCTACCCTAAGTAAGCACTTTTATGATTGACATTTTTTAATGGATTTTGTAAATGGTAAATTACAAAAGGATTTGCAGGATTTGAATCATACCTATTAATGATATGATGAATTAAGCTCAAAACTAGGAATAAATGTATAGAGGAAGCTTTAGTAAATACCTGGCCATCCTATGATGTTTATTTTTTGAAAAGATGCTGAAAGTGAAATCTTATATGAGGTCTCTCAAAAAGTTCATGTTTTTT